TCTCAGGGTGCTGTTGGGGGTCTCGGGGTGCCAGGGGACACTCGGGGTGCTGTTGGGGGTCTCGGGGTGCTGTTGGGGATCTCAGGGTGCTGTTGGGGGTCTCGGGGTGCTCTCAGGGGGTCTCAGGGTGCTGTTGGGGGTCTCAGGGTGCTGTTGGGGGTCTCGGGGTGCCAGGGGGGCTGGCCCAGGGCTCGCTGGGGCTGGGGAGCAGCCGGAGGCTGCAGGAGCTGCCCCAGACGGGATCCCCTGGATCCTCTGGATTCCCTGGATTCCCTGGATCCTCCGGATCCCCCGGATCCCCTGGATCCCCCGGATCCACTGGATTCCCTGGATTCCCTGGATCCTCCGGATCCCCCGGATCCCCTGGATCCCCTCTCAGCCCCGGCTGTGCCCCGTGCAGGGAGAGCAGGAATCGCTGTCCTGGAGCTCTCAGGAGAGGAAAATCCCGTCCTGGGCAGGGAAAGGAGGGACAGAGAGAGGGGAAATCCTGCTGTGATCCCCTGGGTCCCTCTGGAGCTGGGAATGGATCCCTGGGTCCCTCTGGAGCTGGGAATGGATCCCTGGGTCCCTCTGGAGCTGGGAATGGATCCCTGGGTCCCTTCCTGAGCTGGGAATGGATCCCTGGGTCCCTTCCTGAGCTGGGAATGGATCCCTGGGTCCCTCTGGAGCTGGGAATGGATCCCTGGGTCCCTCTGGAGCTGGGAATGGATCCCTGGGTCCCTCTGGAGCTGGGAATGGATCCCTGGGTCCCTCTGGAGCTGGGAATGGATCCCTGGGTCCCTCTGGAGCTGGGAATGGATCCCTGGGTCCCTCTGGAGCTGGGAATGGATCCCTGGGTCCCTCTGGAGCTGGGAATGGATCCCTGGGTCCCTCTGGAGCTGGGAATGGATCCCTGGGTCCCTCTGGAGCTGGGAATGGATCCCTGGGTCCCTCTGGAGCTGGGAATGGATCCCTGGGTCCCTCTGGAGCTGGGAATGGATCCCTGGGTCCCTCTGGAGCTGGGAATGGATCCCTGGGTCCCTCTGGAGCTGGGAATGGATCCCTGGGTCCCTTCCTGAGCTGGGAATGGATCCCTGGGTCCCTCTGGAGCTGGGAATGGATCCCTGGGTCCCTTCCTGAGCTGGGAATGGATCCCTGGGTCCCTCTGGAGCTGGGAATGGATCCCTGGGTCCCTCTGGAGCTGGGAATGGATCCCTGGGTCCCTCTGGAGCTGGGAATGGATCCCTGGGAACGGGAATTCCACAGTTCCAGAGGGGAGGGATTGCTGGGAACGCTGGAGAATTGGGAACCCCAAATGTCCCCTCTGGGATGGCTCCAGGGGGGGACAGGACCCCAATTGTCTCCCCAGGACCCCCAGGACCCCAATTGTCCCCCCAGACCCCAAGTGTCCCCAAGTGTCCCCAGGTGTCCCCCAGTGTCCCCAAGTGTCCCCAAGTGTCCCCAGGTGTCCCCCAGTGTCCCCAGTGTCCCCCAGTGTCCCCAGTGTCCCCAGTGTCCCCAGTGTCCCCTCAGGACCCCCAGTGTCCCCAGTGTCCCCCAAGGTGTCCCCAGTGTCCCCAGTGTCCCCAGTGTCCCCTCTGGCCCCCAGGGGAGCTGCCCAAGCAGGTGAAGGTGAAGAAATTGGCCAAGCTGAAAACGCTGGACACAAAACCAGGTGAGGGCTCCAGGAGAGCCCCTCCCCCACAGCCTGCACCCCTCCCTGAGTGATTGATCCCCGATTGATCCCTGAGTGACTGATTGATCCCTGATTGATCCCCTCATTGATCCCTGAGTGATCCCTGATTGATCCCTGAGTGATCCCTGATTGATCACCTGATTGATCCCTGATTGATCCCTGATTGATCACCTGATTGACCACCTGATTGATCCCTGAGTGATCCCTGATTGATCCCTGATTGATCCCTGACTGATCCCTGATTGATCACCTGATTGATCCCTGATTGATCCCTGATTGATCACCTGATTGATCCCTGATTGATCCCTGATTGATCCCTGATTGATCCCCTGATTGATCCCTGATTGATCACCTGATTGATCCCCTCATTGATCCCTGATTGACTGATTGATTCCCTGATTGATCCCTGATTGATCCCTGATTGATTCCCTGATTGATCACCTGATTGATCACCTGATTGATGCCTGATTGATCCCTGATTGATCCCTGATTGATCCCTGATTGATCACCTGATAGATCCCCTCATTGATCCCTGATTGACTGATTGATTCCCTGATTGATCCCTGATTGATCACCTGATTGATCCCTGATTGATCCCTGATTGACTGATTGATTCCCTGATTGATCCCTGATTGATCCCTCATTGATCCCTGATTGATCCCTGATTGATCCCTCATTGATCCCTGATTGATCCCTGATTGATCCCTGATTGATCCCTGATCGATCCCTCATCGATCCCTGATTGATCCCGATTTCCCCTCCAGGAATTTACACTTCCTACAAAACGTTCCTGCACAAAGACAAAACCCTGATCAAGAGGCTGCTAAAGGTGAGCACAGAATTGACATTTTTGGGGTTCAGAACATCCTGGGGCTCCCCAAAAGAGCAGAATTGGCATTTTTGGGGTTCAGAACATCCTGGGGCTCCCCAGAAGAGCAGAATTGGCATTTTTGGGGTAAATTGGGGTAAATTGGGGTTTGGGGTCTGGGTTTGGGTTTGGGGTCTGGG